TGGTGATGGACAGATTGACAGATGAGGTCAGACAGGAGTCCCCATGGACTATGATGTTTGCAGATGACATTGTGATCTGTAGTGAGAGTAGGCAGCAGCTAGAAGAGAACCTAGAGAGGTGGAGGTTTGCACAGAGAAATATCAACTGTTCAGAGCAGCGGAGACAGTGGAAGAGAGGTGAAGAATAGAGTACAGGCAGGATGGAACAGCTGGAGAAAAGTGTCAGGAGTGATCTGTGACAGAAGAGTGTCAGCTAAGGTCAAGGGAAAGGTTTACAGGACGGTGGTGAGACCAGCCATGATGTATGGTTTAGAGACAGTAGCAATAGGCAGAAGACAGGAGGCAGAGCTGGAGGTGGCAGAGTTAAAGAAGATTCTCTTTAGGAGTGACAAGAATGGACAGGATCAGGAATGAGGTCATTAGAGGGACAACACAGCCAGGAAGATTTGGAGAAAAAGCTAGAGAAGCCATGTTGAGATGGTTTGGACATCTGCAGAGGAGGGACAGTGGATACATTGGTAGAAGAATGTTAGAGATAGAGCTACCAGGTAGGAGAAAGAGAGGAAGACCAAAGAGGAGATATATGGATGCAGTGAGGGAGGACATGCAGATAGTTGGAGTCAGAGTAGAAGAACAGGGAGAGATGGAAATCAATGATTTGCTGTGGCAACCCCTGAAAAACAAGGGACAAAGCCGAAAGAAAAAGAAGAATCATTTCACTGTAAACTAATCTTTCATTGCAAACGAATCACTCTCTGTGAACTAAGTTTTCGCTGTGAACTAATCTTTCATATGTTCATGATGTTCGTATTGAACTCATGAATTACTCACAAATCACTCACTGCAAACTAATCACACTCTGCAAACTAATTATTCACTGCGAACAAATCACTGTCTGCGAACTAATATTTCATTGTGAACTAATCTTTCACTGTGAATTAATCTTTCACTACGAACGATATACTCTCTGCAAACTAATATTTGACTGTGAACTAATCTTGCACTACAAACGAATTACTCTGCAAACTAATCTTTCACTGTGAACTAATCTTTCATTGCAAACGAATCACTCTCTGTGATCTCTAATCTTGCACTACGTATGAATTACACTGTAATCGAATCTTTCGCTGCGAACTAATCTTTTCAGATTTGTTTCATTTGTCACGTGACAGAGAGCTTGGGTCTCTTTTGCTCTCATTCAACTTCACATTGTGGTGTGTTTTTATTTCTTAACTTTTCACATGGTTTTAATTGTACTTTGTAGACTTTGTCAGCGGAAGATTCAAATCAATAAAAAGAGTCGGTCTTCCCAATACGGTGACAATCCAGAACAAAAATAGTGACAGACACCTGACTCTGGAGGGGCGAACAACAACAACAGTGCCCTCCTGTGTCCAACTTAGGTCACTACCCTTTTCTCTGTAACAATAGGAATATTTTATACCTGTTACCGGTGCATGTTGGACTACGGCAGGGTTGCCCTTTGTCACTGGTTCTGTTCATTATCTTTATGGACAGAATTTCTAGGCACAGCCAGGTGTCGGGTGGGGTCAAGTTCAGGAGCCACCGGATTTCATCTCTGCTTTTTGCGGATGATGTGGTCTTGTTGGCTTCTTTGAGCCAGGACCTGCAACATGCACTGGGGCGGTTTGCAGTCGAGTGTCAAGCCGCTGGGATGAGAATTAGCACCACTAAGTCCGAGGCCATGGTTCTCAATTGGAAAAAAAGTTGTTCAAGCTAAGTAAGAGTAAGGAACTACACTTCATTGAAAACAAGAAAAGATGTAACAAATGGAGTATTGTTCCGGTTTGTTGTTGTTGTCTAGGGACGGATTTGGGAGAAACACCGTCATGAGAAATGCAGCGACAGAGAGCTGACAGTGTTTAAGAGTTGAATATAAATAAAAGGCAACGTTGGAAACTATTGAAGAGTTTCTTTATTCATTCTGAGGTAGTAGACAACAGAGTGAAACATTCTCCAACCTTATTGATCTGCGACTCCATGCGCGCCCATCTCATCAATTTTGTCAAAACCCAAGTGAAGCAAACTAATTCGGCTCTTGCAATCATTCCGGGTGGATTAACCAAAGAATTAGTTCAAAGTTAAATTGCGAGCTGCGTGGGAGTATTGGATGACAGAAGGCGAACACACATTCACCAAGATAGGGAGGCAATGCCGGGCGAGTTACGCCACTACCTGCTAATGGAACGTGGATGCCTGGGCTATGGTATCAGTCTCAAATGTCGTCCGTGCTTTCACGAAGGCCAGAATCATCACTGGACAGCTAATTAACAGCAACAAGACTGACTCGGATAATGACGAGAGGGATCCCGGCATACTTGATGCGTCTTATAATACGGTGCATCTTATGTATGAAAATAGACCTGTTCATTAATATTGCATAAAACAGTACATAAAAAAAATGTGACAATTCAATTTCCTAAAAGGGATTTTGTTCCCATTCTTGTCAAATGTGTAAAGGGCTTACACACCTTGAAAACAAGGGAGTCAGCAAAAAAAAAAAAAAAAACAATAAAAAAAAATGAAAAGACTGTGTACATTTTACTATGGTTAGCAACACCTTCACGTTTCAAAAATAGACTGTGCTAACTTGCCACTAGTCTGTGATTAGCCAGTCAGCTTCCAAACTGGCATGTAGGATTTTATGCAGCTAAATCAGTACAGATGCCACATTGCTTGGTAATATGCTGAGTGTTTAAAACACACATTTACCAATGCAAAAAACCAGCACATCTCAAGTAAAATATCTTACACAATTTTGCTCCAAAAAGAGAAACTCTCCATTTTACATCGCATCTCTAACTCAAAGTCCTGCCCTTGAAAAAAGGGCAGGACTATAATTCTTTCAACTTAAACATGACTGGTACACACTGTTCCAACAACCAAAAGCAGAGGAAGACAGGCTGCTACATTCCCTGTGAGATAATCCTTAAACAAACTGTACAAGTGTTACTTTGAAAACAAGAATTACTTGATCTACCAGTACAATGTACCACCCATGACACCTGTTTTATCATCTAAGAAAATGCTGAAGTGAAACAATCCCAATATTGGAAACAGGCTTAGGGACACTGGGATAGGGAAGCAGTGGATAATCCAATGACAGTGTGATTGCTATAAAATACATAAATATTAATAATATTTTTCTCACATACTGTGTGTCCACTCGTGGTTAATGCCATCTCCATGTAATCTGTTGTGGCACAAACAGGGTTTACCACACAAAAGATGCACAATTACCAGTCATCACTGAGGCATGACAGTTCTGTAAGCAGACATAACACACATGGGCAAGTGATAGGTTGGATTGTTTAAATAGAGATGCAAATTAGATGTTTATTTTCCTCCTTTTTTCCTCATTGATGACTTGTGGCCAATGTTAAATGCTGATGAATGACAGTCTGCAGCTAACAGACATTCATTAATATCTGTGTGGGAGATGTAGTGGGATGTAATGCCTATAGAGTGAGTGAGTGTGTGTATGTGTCTGTGTGTGTATTTCGCTTAGTGTGAAAGATGGTTGGGCCTGTGGCTGTTGCCATGACAACCCCAGATAGCTGTCTTGCAGAGAACCTGGCAGACTCATTTCATTTGTCAATTTTTTTCTGTTAGATGTGGTGGAACATGAGCAGGTCATGGTAGTGACATCATCAGCCTGTGAGTCTCTGTTAGTGTTGGTAACATTTATTTTGTCTATCTTCGTGTGCATGTGTGTGTCCTCCCTGTTTCTCCTCTTGGTTTATCCCTCCTCTCGTGACATCAGAGTGTGTGACATCACCTGAGTCCAGAGGTGATCAGCATTCAGAGCAGCCGAGCTTCCCTCCAAACACACCACACACCATTTATAATATTTATTGTGTATTATACATAGACAAACGCTATCTTACACCATACTGCATCTTACACACCAATGTTAACATTTCAGCCACAATCTCTGTGTTTATTCATTTATTTTTTTATATAATAAGTGGCAAAAAAGCAGGCCACATCCAGAACAGGAAGTGACGAGTACTAGACTTTAGTCATTTGACTACATTACATGGTACTGCAGTGCACAGACACCAAGGAAATTTTACATCCAAACAATCTGTAATCAAACAACTCTGAAATTTAATCTCTAACAAAAAAAAAACATAAGTAACAACAACAAATTATATACATCCATGCATCCATTTTCATCCGCTTATCCGTTACCTGGTCACGGGGGCAATAGTCTCTATGACTGCCACCCAAATCACACTGCACCATACAAACCCCCCTGAACCTTCCTGCGGGTGGTGAGTCCACTGGAAGGTCAACAAATTATAAACCTTCATTAATCATTCCTGATCCAAAACAATGCTAAAAAAGTAAAGCTACAAATTTGTATTTTTTTAACCAATTTTTAGCCTCTTAATATAATGCAGCAAATTCCTTTGTATGACATCAAAACAATTGTATGTTCCTTAATGTTCAACAAACTTGTCCAACCGCTTGTTTGTTTTGTTGCCATCCTTAACACCCTGGCCATAAAAAAACAGTTCTACAGCTTCTTCAGTGCCATTCAGTAAATAACACAGTGCATGTTCAAAACTTTTTTTTGTTATCTTTACCTTATTGGAGGCCATCTCACTGACTGAGTGTCTGGTCTGCAGGGTCTCCAACTGGTCCAGGCACCAGTCCAGCTCCTCCAGGGTCTCAGTGGCCAGCTTCTGGTAGGCCTCCTCTGTAGTGGCAAGACAGGAGGGCAAGGGGTCAGTAAGGGCCCGCTTCAGAGGGCTAATGGATGGTCCAGGCCCGGGGTCTCCCACCCCACAAACAGCTAAGCTGGGATACCCCGAGTAGACACATGGGTGACTCTTCATACTGGACAACCAGTGCCAGCTGTGCGGGCCTGGAGATTTGCTCTGTATCCTAACTCAAAGATGATCAGTTGTAGCAAATCTTCCTTGGTAAAACAGAAAAGAAAACTTCCAATGCAGAAACAATTGTTCCAATGCCAGATTCTGGATTTTTTGAGTGTGTCAAAGGCAATTCCAGGGAGCCGAGAGGCAGGTGATGATGGAAAATAGCCACAGTTCTGGGTTTCCGAATGAGAGAAAACCACAGAGCAGAACACAGAGATCTTAAAGACACACTCAAACGGACACTCTCACACACTGTCCCTTGTTTACAGCACACATGTCATAGTCAGTGATCCTGGTGTATGAGGATTACTCTGTCATTCAGAAGAGAGCTGCTGTAATTCCAGTCATGTAGTAGAATGAACAACAGTCTGCTGAGCAGGCCCATGTCTGTCAGAGAGAAGGATGAAGGGAAGACTACAGGGATGGTGCAAATGAGCATCACTACCATTCAAGCTCTATGTCAATATTGTCCGACATAGAACACACACATCGGCTTCTTCACGGCACCCTGACTGGTTTAACAGATGCACAGACATCACACACACATATTCAAACACGAACAAGCAGATGCACACACATGCATAAACACACACCACAGCAGACAAAATGCTAACCATAACACATCATCATGCCTCCTCTGTGTCTCTGCCAATAAAAATATCCATGGTATCCCAGAAGCAGTCAGTATAATCCAGTGCTGTGAGTGTGTGTGATCGCTTTCCTATAGATGCTCTGTGTGTATGTGTGTGTGTAGGGGGTGGGCTGCTGTTGCTTCGGCGTCCATGGTAGCCAAACATGCTGCTCTCCCCAAGCTGAACCAAAAGCCTGAGAGGACTGCACTATGGATGGGAAGTGGAGGGAAAAAACGTGAACTGGAGTATTAGAGGAGAGGAGTCAGAGCTGCCAGCTACCTGTACTGACTGCATGGGAATCACAAACTCACAGAGAAAACCAATTGCATCATCTGTGACATAGTTCATTTGACAAAACAAACCAGTGATTGCTTTCCTCACAGCATCCTACTCTTTGTTTTTCTTACTTCCAAAATTTTCGACAGACCTCTTTCAAAGTCAGCCGATCTGACCAAAAATGTCACATTGTGTGAATCAAATTTATATTGACTAATTTCAGAATGCATGGGCTTTAAATGGTATTTGATCTGTGGATGGGTGGTGACAGCTTTGTTTAGAAGCAGTTACAGTTGCAGAGAGATGACAATTAAACTAATAAAAAATACTGCTTTGAAAAAACTAGGCCAACTTCTAAAACTGCAATTAAAAATTTTGCCTGTCAAATGTAAACAATGTAGAACTTTTCAGCAAACACTCCAACAGTTGGACACAATGAAAGTGTCTGGTTACACAGTCCACTGCTGTGTAAAAAATGTGTAATGACAAGCAGAAGTCAATCATCAAATCTGTGTAGAAGCATAGCTTAGTTTTTAGGGTGAACTGAATGTCACAGAGAATGTCGAGTGGTCAGATGAATTCGTGGTTCAGTTACTTTAAGGGAAAAGTGTTCTATATTTTAGGTCCAAAAGGACGACTACTTTAACTACACTGTAAAAAAGGATTTTAGAGGGTGGTAAATACAATCCCGGAAAATTAGTTAAAATGTACCTATCTATATTAATAAGCAAGTGTAATATATAATTATAGGTAAATTCTACCTATACAACCTATTTTTTAAATTTAAAAAAACATCATAGAATACACCCAAAAACTGTCAGGTGTGCACGACAGTGCGCATGCGCATTCGACTACAGCGGTTGGAGGGACTTTTCGTCGTCGGTTGCTGTCAGAATTGTGGAGCTGCTCGATTGAAGGTAAGATGTGATTCCTGTATATATAAGACTCCAAGGAACAAGCTGGACAATGTGGTTTATGCTGTTCAGTACAGTGAGGAGTGTACGGACCTGTACATTGGGGAGACCAAACAACCACTATGCAGGCGCATGGCCCAACACAGGAGGGCCAACTCCTCAGGACAGGACTCAGCTGTTCACATACACCTCAAGGACAAAACCCACTCCTTTGAGGACAACAATATACACATTTTGGCCAGGGAAGCCAGATGGTTTGAGAGAGGGGTAAAATAAGCCATTTTTGTCAACCTGGAAAAACCATCACTCAACAGAGGAGGTGGACTCAGACACAACCTATCGCCCACTTACAAAGCACAACAATACCCAAAAGTTTCACCTCAGTTTCACACAACAAAGAGGCAGGGGACTGAAACCCTTCTGATGGGGACAACAACAACCTGTCAGACTCTTAACGACCTAACGAGGCCTACTGACACTTTCACAGTTGACCCCAAGGCCCCACCTAACAGGGTAGAGCGGAAGTAGCTTTATTCTTTCTCACTTAGAGTATTTATTTGCTGTACTCCCCACCACCAGTTAGAACAGAAGAAGCCTCTTGGATGAGAGGTGAAACGTCTTCTTTTAGAAAATTCACGTCCAGTTGCCTAACAGAACGTTTTAAACTTTCTGTATATCGTTTTACTTCGTGTCATATGGGGAATGTAAATGTTAATGTTGTAAATGGTTAGAATCTTCCAGAGTTGTAGTCAGCATCTTTCTGCATATGTGCATGCGTGCTCAAACCAGAAAATTTGAATCGGCGATACATGCGTCTTGGCTGTTTGAATGTCTAATGACCGTATTAGATGAGAAAAAAGTCCCCGAAAGAAAAATTCTGGCGGTAGCAGCTACGTGGGTGTTTGCAGATGAACCGTGTTGTTTCTTTCAGTGTTGCGTTTCAGGACTCCCGCTTCTCTGCGGAACATCACGTATCGAACACCGAAACGTTAAAGTGATTTGTTTCTCGCGGTGACTTGCATAAACTTCACCAAGGCAACGAACTTGCACATGTTTCGCCACGTTTTTTAAATTTAGGTGTGTCATTATGCTCAGAAATTCATGAACAAATGAAATACACGTTTGTCATATTATAATCCCATTGATTTCCAATGATCCATTTGGAGTAAATGTCAATATCACTTAACAATGTGAACCATTGGCATCATTTTGGTTGTTTAATGCACAATAATAACTTATTTAATGTGATGAGGTTAAATGATCATTGTGAATTTATAAACATTTACCATCATTTACCACAGCTCAGGGTCCTGGAAAAGCTTGAAACGTAAAAGCGATGAATAGAATGAGAACATGTTACTGGCTATGCATGTGTGTATGTGTATGCGCGTGTGTGTGTATATATATATATATATATATATATATATATATGCACACACAGCAACAAGTAGCTGATGTCTAAGTTTAATATTCCGTTGACTGTTTCTGATCTGTTGTGTATGTTTAAAGTGAACATTTTTGAATCATGACAACTATAACAATCATTGCCTGTCTGTCCTGTCCATTGCAGGTTTTGGGAACGTCTGCTTGCAACTTCCTTCTTCCTATCTTCCAACTTCATATGTGAGTGTTACAAATGAACTGGCTGTGCAAACTGTCGGTTCACCACATCAAAAAGATTGAATCTATTTCAACATTACAGACTGCAACACAGGCATTTTAGTCAAAACCAATCCATACCCTGTCTCCATCATGACTGCCCTTGCACCTTTAGGATATCGAGTTCTTTACAGACACATTTGTCCAGATATCACCCACAGGCAACCAAACCAGGCCAGCTCATTTCCTTCATGTGCCTAGTGTGCAATTCACACTGTTTCAACACTGAAAGACTATATTTTGAGCACCAAAGTCCAACAGATGAAGAAAACAACCTTAACTACTGTGACCCAGTCATTGAACAGGATTTTGACTTGAAGAAAACTCTTATCAAGAGACTGGGTTTACTCCTTCTTAAATTGCAATGCATTTTCAATGTATCCAATACATGCATAGATGAAATAGTAGAGGAACTTAATTTCCTTTCATCATGCACCTGGCCCAGTCATTAAAAAAATTATACTGAACACTTTGAGGAACCATAGCTATATTTTTGAAGATTCACTGATTTCAGAACTGGTTAAAGATCTTTGCCAGCTAAAGCCCTTCTATGCTGCTTTTGGGGTGGATGGGCCGGTTGAGTACTTTCTCGATAGTGACAAGAACATAACATAGCAGTATGTACCAATTATCCCTTTATTGTCTCAACTTGTGGACAACAGGCACATTCAAGAAACAATATTGCAGAACAGAAGGTCATCTAATGTTTCCTCTAAATACAAATCATTCCGTGATGGATTATTCCTAAGAGAAAACAAGTTTTTATGTGGAGATGAACTTACACTTCCACTCATTCTTTACATAGATGACTTTGAAGTATGCAACCGACTGGGAACATCACGCAAGAAGCGCAAAGTCACAGCTGTGTACTGAGTATTCGCAGACATCCCTGCTTCCTTGCGGTCCACATTAACTTCCATTTACCTAGCCATTGTTTGTAAGGTAGATGATGTGAAGCAATATGGATACCCAAAAGTGTTGCAATCACTGCTTCTAGATTTGAAATCCTTTGAAGATCATGGCATTTTTGTACCAAGTCTAGGTAAAGTGGTCAAGGGTACTGTACTTGCTGTAGTTGCAGACAATCTTGTTGCTCACTCTATTGGTGGGTTTGTTGAAAGTTTTACTGCCTCACATGTTTGTCGATTTTGCATTGGAGAGCGTTCACAAATCCAGGACCACGAAGTGAGAGAAGGACTGTTTCCTCCACGGACTAAGTCCAGCCATATCATAGATGTCAGAGCAGCATTGTCTGATCCCGCTGAAGCTCATCATTGTGGAGTGAAAAGACTTTGTCCCATCTCTGACACATTGAGTTACTTTCATGCCACATCAGGT